ATCATCATCATCATCATCATCATCATCATCATCATCATCATCATCATCATCATCATCATCATCATCATCATCATCATCATCGTCATCATCATCATCATCATCATACTCGTTATTCATTTCTTAAAACCATCATTCCCATGACAACGTATCGTTATACGGAGGCAAATCTTATGTCCCCCGCTCTAAACCCTGCTGTCCTTCCGTCCCCAGATCCGTTCATCGTGGTGTTCATGCTGCTGGCGTCCCTCAACAGCTGCACCAACCCCTGGATCTACCTGGCCTTCTCTGGCCGCTCCTGTCCCAGGGGGCCGTTCCGGAGGGGCGGGGGAGAGAGCAGTCCCCACCCATCCACACACGTCACTTCCGCCGGAGAGAGCATGGACTCCAGAACTAGGTCATCCTGTATGGACATGTCGCACGGCCGAACCAACTTCACCAGGCTGCCCAGGGGGAGCTCTCGCTTCGGATCTCCCAAGTCGGTGGAGAAAATCGCTAACAGTAACAGCAAATGTTGACCTAAGCGCTCACGTTAACAGTAACAGCAAGATTGAACTGTACATACTCTGGCTAGCACCGATACTTAATAACACGTTACTCTTTCCGTGTACAGATAAAGTGCAGAACATAGAGGGAGTGCTTACCCTTGATCCTCCAACTGTATTAGATCACCTAGCCAGCAGCCATGAAGAGATCTCCTTCACGAAGGAGATTGTGATTGAGAAAGGAGTACAGTCTGGTGAAGGCAGGAGGAGCAGGCTGCGTGACCCCATCAGACGCTACAACAACCAGCTGATGATGGAGACAATCACACACTACAACAACCAGCTGATGATGGAGACAATCAACCTGCCCAGATTGAAATAGACCCTTATGAAGAGGGGTGAGGAAGCATGGAGCACCCTGTCTTCCTAAGACCCCTGTTCTACATTCGAGTATTCAAGATAGAGTATATCTCTATCTCGTTCAGAGAGTGGAGTTTGCTATCGGAGGTTCCACCGGTTTAGGAATCTTTGTACCGTTTCGAAAGGCGCGTTGTACCCACAGTACCTGAATGTCATATTTACCGACTCACCAACAGCCAGGATGGGCCGAGCCGCTTACACACAGCTGACCAGTCTACTGAACGCGATATGGACGACCCATGTTTGATTCCCCTAGAGGACAATCTTAACTTGGATTGTAAATTAAGTTTTGTGGCTCTGCAGCAAGATGACTATTCTCCGATGTAACCGCCACCATACGTTACCGGAGGAAACGTTCGTACCAATCTAGTATAATAAGTGGAACTCTGTAATTAGAACAAAGTCTTTGGAGACTCTGGGAGATCTCGGGGAATGCGCTTTCCCCAAAAGACCGTTATTGTTTTCCGTACAGGATTAGGGATGACCAAAGATCAATGCCTCTCTTCCAGCGAGGGACAAGCCCAATGTCCAAAAATAGTTCCCACCAAAAGGTTGCATGATGCCGCTCAGAGAGTGTCTAAGTCCACGACACGTCACAGAGTTCTGATTCACGCGGGTGGAGGAAATTACAGATTCTCTTTTCTTAATGTGATTGTTTCTTTTTGTTGTTATTTTTACATTCCTTCAAATTTATGAGTATCGGGTACTTGAAATGGGCCAAAATAAAATTGTGTTTAAATATTTACTTACAGATTTGGTATTAGCTGACTCTCGCTAATGCTATTACTATTACTGCTTGCTTTAGGGGAGGGGGGGGGGGCTACGTTTTTAACAGTATCATTTACTTCAAGATTACGACTCAATTGCAAGACCCTATATTTATTTATATATTCATACATTTGGGATTCTTTGATTGCTCTCTATCTGAGTTCTGGCAGTTGATTTTGGTTGCTAAGGCCTAGATCTCTGTAAACATCCGATTTACCGATTTTTGAGAATGAGTTTGTAATGACACAGTATGGACCTTTACCAGATTCTGGGGTTAATGACCTTTTACATTGAACTCTGAGTCGCCAAAACAATAACATATGTTCATGTTTTCAGTCATAGGATCTGACAGCCCCGTAGAGGTGTTTGTTCTGTTAATAATGTCGCCACAAAAATCGTTTTGGAGTGTTTGAACTGGAAATACTGTTCTTACCGCTTATTGATTCTGTAACATGACACGACACTGTAGATCTAGATATGATCCAGGTTTGTTTGGTCGTTTAGATTTCAGCCCTACGTTATCGACTTCTCCTTCGTTTGTTCTGTCGCAGATCGTATTCCCATCTGTAGGGAACTGGTACGGCTAAAGGACAAACTGTAGGGAACTGGTACGGTTAAAGGACAAACTGTAGGGAACTGGTAAACTATTTGAAAGAGTAGCCGATAACACGAGCCGCTCCCGGGCTAGGGCTAAAGGAAAGACACTGACCACAGAAAGGCTGTAATGTAAGAATAGAATTTTGTTTTTTTCTTCCTAAGTTCACCTTAGGCCAGAGCTGGTTGTCAGATGTAGTGGTGCCCCCAAGGTTGCCCCAACCACGGGATAGAAGAAGAAGAAGAAGAAGAAGAAGAAGAAGAAGAAGAAGAAGAAGAAGAAG